TCATATCATCTGCAAAGAGTGAGAGTTTGACCATATGATAATTGTCTTTCTCTGCTTATTTCACTTAGCATAATCCCCTCCAGTTCCATCCATGTTGATGCAAATGGTAGGTATTCATCCTTTCTGGATGGCTGAGTAATACTTTTGAGTTTGTCTCTCTGTATAATTTTCGTAGTGGTTCCTGTGGGTGCTACTTCTAACGATGTACTGGTATTTACATTTATCACTTTAGATGAAAAATAGAAACTTCACTTCCATTTAGGTCTCTTTACCTTTCCCACCTTTAAATATCATTGTTTTAGTATTAGTATTATAATTTTTGTTTCAATAGTCAATATGATTTATAAAACTCGTAAGGAAATGAACTGTCTATTGTATAGACTCATATTTCGTTCTATTGTCTCTTCTTGATTCCTAATGCTGTAAGTTTCCTTTTGTCATTTCCTTTGTTTGAAGAACTTCAGTCTTTTCAGGATAGGTCTGCTAGTCACAGAATCTTAAATTTCACTCATCTATGAATGTTTTTATTTTCCCTTCATTCCTAAAAAATAGCTTTTCCTGATAATTACGGTTAACAGTTCTTTTCTTTCAGCACTTAAAAAACATTTTGTCATTTCCTTCTTCATGGTTCTACATAAGAAATCCACTTAAATTAGTGTTTCCTTGCAGAGAATGCTTTGTTTTCTCTGGCTGCTTTCAGGAGTTTTTGTCCTTTTTTAAAAGTTTAATTATGATGTATCTTGGCATGGATCCTTTAGGTTTATCCTGTTTGGGTTCATTCAACTTCTAGGTTCATTCAATCTCTAGGTTTGTGTCTTTCATCAAATACAGGCAGTTCCCAGCCATTATTTCTTCAAATACTCATTCATCCCCAATTTTCTCCTCTACTTTCTGGGACTCCGATAATATTAGATATTTTGTTATAGTCTCACAGGTCCCTGAGACTCTGTTCATTTTTTCCAGTTTTTCTATTGTTCAAATTGAGTGAATTCTATTGTTCTGTCCTCATGTTCACTGATTCTATCCTCCCATTTCCACTCTACTGTTGAGCCCATCTGGTGAGTTTTTAATTTCTGTTGTATTTTTCAGTTTTATAATTTCCTTTTCTTTTTTGCATAACTTCTATTTCTTTTTTGAGATTTTCTATTTTTTAAGAGAATTTGTAATGATTGTTGCAGTATTTTTATAAAGTCTGCCTTCAAATTCTTATCAGACAATTCCAACATCTGACTCATATCAGGTTGGCATCAGGTGATTTCATTTTTCATTCAAGTTGTGATTTTCTTGGTTCTTGGTTTGTATCCTGGTCATTTTGTCTGTTAGGATACTCTGGGTCCTATTTTAATATTTTATTTTACAGGAAGTTACTCTGCTAGGTTCAACATACAAGTTTTAGTCTACTTTTGCAGGCCATGATTCCAATGGTAGTTTAATTTTCAGAACGTTTGTGATGTTATGCTGGTCTACTTGGTGTATTTGGTGCTGGTGGGGCTCACTCTGGTCTCTGTCAGTGCTGCCTGAGGGGTCAGAAGGAATTTCCTCTGACTAGGTTGCCAGATATCACTTGGTGAGGGAGGGGTGTGTAGAAATCTTTCTCTTGGTGTTCCCCTGCTACCCTAGTTAATCTGGACCAGGGAGGAGAGCATCAGTTTCATGGAGACAAAGTGGCTTCCAGGCCTAGGCTGCTAGCTGTGACAGGTCCTTTTTCCTGTTTCCATAGTCAGACCTACTCTCTCTAGGCAGGGGAGGAGAGTCTCTGGCCCTTGGGAACAAAGAGCTTTCTCAGCTGGGTTACTTGCTTTACCTGAGTCTCTCTTACTGGTTCTTCTTACTCACCACAGTATCTCTCTATGGAAGAGTCTCTGGCCCAGCAGGGAAGGAGCATACTTCCCCCTGGTCACTTATTTTTGGCAGGGCTCCTAGACGGTCCCCATTGCCTGAGGTTGTCAGAGGGACTCCCACTAAACCCAGAGGTAAGAATGAGCTATTACCTCCTCTTGCTAGGTGGGAAGTTGGAAAATGCCAGCTCTGGGTGGCTCTTTTTTTTTGGTTGGGGGATTCAAGACACCCTGCCTCTGTGTTATTCCTCATGCCCTGAGTTCCCAAACTACCTTGCCTTCTTAGCATTCTTTAGAGTTCTCCTTTGCCTGTTTCTTGTGCCATTTCCAGGGTTTATAAAGTTATGCTTAGTGGGAAGGAGCAAGGAAAAGGTCTATACCATCTTGTCCAGACCAGAAGACCCTCACCTACTCAATTTTATGTCTTCTTTATCTGTTAAAATTTTTTATATTTGTTTCTGTTTTGCTATTTTAGACCCAGTTACATTATAGACATCAAAAATCTGAAAGAAATCTTTGCCTGATGCACACATTTAACCTATTTTCTCCAGATGTAATTAATGAGGCTGGGGGAAAAAAATGAATGTCTCAACAACAACAGGATCTAAATTGAGCTTAAGGCCATATACATAAAGATACTGTTGAGGAACACACACACACCCCTCCTTTCAGACCATCTCCTAACAATCTGCTCAAGAAGCATCTCTACATCAAGCAGAAATGGATTCATGAAACCACCAAAGGGACTGGGGAAAATGGGAGGGAGTGGTAGAGCTTACTGTAGAGAGGGCATAGCCCTCTCCTCCTGGTGTTCTCTGAGTGGTCAAACCTACCTGGATGCTTCTGCTTGGGAAATCTCAACTTTGCGAGGCTAAGTGGTGCCAGGAGAAAGGTGACTCCAAACTATCCAAGTTAGCCTGGCTCTTCTCTGAGCTTTTGTAGGCAAGAAAACTCAGTTCAGTCAAGTGCACCAAAGTAAATATTTATTTGGGACAGAATCCTTAAGCCAGTACATTTCCTTTCTAATTTATTTACATACTGTGTTGTTCTCAAGAAGCATTTAAAGTGATTTTAATGGATACATAATATATTAGGATATATAAATTAGATGTAGGCAAAAAAAAAAAAAGCAAGAAGAAAACAAGGGACAGACATAAGTTTGGTGCAAAACTGCTTCTTAGTGATTTTCTACACTTACATAAATAACCCATGAGAAGAGAGTACATCGCTGTGCCATCTCTGACTTGACCCTCGGGTCAAGCTGGATCATTCCAGCACTCAGGACTGGGAATGGGTGCAGCAAGGTGGACTCCTAAAATGGAGATATGCTATAGAGATAGAGACAAGTTCCCATGGAAATTTCCGTATTCAATAAATTTCCTGCACCTGAAGCATGTTTGATTTTTTCTTAAAGATTCCTGAATTCTCACTTTGAGAATGGCCATAGTTCTGAGCTCTGTCACCTAGTTGAAGACTCAGGCTACTAAGTTCCTGAGAGATCACATACCAGTTAGGGTCCATGACAAGTCAGATATTCTAAATGTGCAGAGTGTGAGCCAAGGCTAACACGACAGTCATTAAGTCCTCCAACTCTTGTTTTTAGTCTTTTTCTATTTTGTTCTCAGAATCTAAGCCAAAACTGTAAGATAGGGACTTGCAGTGTCCCTCCCAAGTCAGCTGGAAATCTGGAAGATGCTGATGACGCAAGGGAGCTGAGAAGTAGCCAAAGAAGTAGTGCTGTACCCAGTGGCTAAATGACCACACTCCTTCCACTATGGGAGCTGCCTCTCTCCTGGGGGATAGAACACAAAAGAATCCGGTCAGCTGGAATCTATTGTCTATGCATACAACATACAGGGTGCACTTGACTTGGGTGCAAATCCTAGGTGAGTGGTGGATGCTGGGGCAGCATAACTGAATCTAAAAAATACTTCTTGACTCCTCATGAAGCCAGTCTCTTCCCCAGGCTTAGGCTTCTCTTCTTTCATATAGAGCCTCCCTCAAATACCTTTAATGTTTGAAAATTTCTTACAGTCTCATTCACTTTGCCTCCTGCTGATTTTAACACCTTCAAGTCTCCCTTAGACTGAAAAAAAGTGCCCTGTCCATTCATCAGCCCACCTCCCTACCATTTGTTCATGAAGACATGGCCCAGTTCTTCTTTTCCTATTCATAGTGTCCTGAACCATTCCTTCTCAGCCCTTTTCTAAAAAGTTGAGCTTCATACCTTAGTATTTCTCTCAAGTTATTTTTCAAAGATCATTATCTCTTTCTGACCAAACTCATGCCTTTTCTTCAGAAGTTAGTACACTTGATCTTTTGGCTTTTTCAACTTGTTCTGTCAGGGCAAGGACTGTCTACATTTCTCATATTTCTCTAACTATGTATCATAGGGGATCATTTCTAAGTTTTCAATATCTGTAGCTGTAGTCCATGAAAGTGACCTTTCTTATCCTATTTGAAATGGCAAAACAAGGTACCTGTCCCAAACATAGTTAAATGCATTGTATATGTATATACATTCATGTTACTATAAAAAAATGTGTTTATCAGGAAAGTGAGTTTTAGGGGGCATGGCTTCTAATCAAAATGCTATGGGATGAATATTCTCTGATACAAAGGAAGGGAACGAATGGGGACAAAAGGAACTTATGCAGGGCTTGCTGAAGGAAAACCTAGACATGATCAAGGAATAGGCATTGTATTAAAAGTAGAAGATTAAGTATACTGAGCAAAAAAAAAATTTTTATTAAATCAAGTCAAGAAAAATGAAGAAAAATCTTGGATTCTCTACCGAAAGTTTGAGTTTAACTTGGAGAAGAAGGAATGCAGTAGTTTTCTCTTGTATTAGAACAGGTGGGTATAGGCCAAGTGTGCAACAAACCAGAAATGTCTTGGGAAGCCCTTTCTTGTAGGGCAAGATTGGAAAGAAAGATAATCCATCTGAAGGAGGCCAGGAACACAGGCGCAACCCAGTCTGAAACTACAGGAGTTTAAAACTTGATATTACAGTTTCTTATATTTCTGAGGTGGGCACTCTGCAGAGAACAGTTCTTACCTATTTTGGATGGAAGCCCTTGTTCCTCGGTATCTATTTGTTAAACATTCTTCTTCAGAGAGAAGGTTTCGTGTAAGCCAAAAGGTTTTTTGATTAATACATACTGCTCTGAATATTTAATAAAGTATTTTAATAAGTATTTCATAAAAAGTTATGGCAAAGCTGTAACTGCTGAAAGCTTGATTTAAGAAAATAGTGATAACATTTATTAACTCAAGGAGCAAACAGAAACTTTGTTATACATAATCAAAGATTGCCATCTAGTGGCCCAATTGTATTATAAGTTCTGAAGTTAACTGCAAGTTCTGAAAACTTCAGAGGTTAGGAAAGTGTGTGGGAAGTGTCCAGTCCCACTGAGGAGAGCAGCAAAAAGTAAGATTTTGGCCCTGGAAACTTTTGCTTCACTGGAGGCATTCAAAATTCAAACTATAAACAAAAAACACTGTGCCCTTCAAACCAACCAATCTAAAGCCAGCCATGGCCCTAATCACTCAGAATATGAGTAGACAGTTGAATGTAATAAAGTGATAACTCTTTGGGAGATAAGCTTAGAGAAATCCAAAACAATGAAGGCTTTCAAAATTATCTTGAGTGAAATCTTTGCGTCTCATGAGCAACTTTACAATAGAAAATTTGGTTTGCTTGTGGTAGAATTAGTGGTGTGTACATCTTAATGATAAAGGAAGCTGTGATACTTTCAGAAAATGAGGAAGAAATAAAGTTACCAGGAAGGAATATAGCAGGAAAACATCATTGCCCCAAATGATTCTTGTTTCTTTCAAATGAGGCAGCATGAAGTTGCTGAAAGGGTAAAGGCTTGAAAGTCAGAGGGCTATCCATGCTGAAATTCTGGCTTCACTGCCTACTGGCTTTGTGACTTCGAGCATGATACCCGATCTCACTGAGCCTCACCTGTTGTTGCAAAGATTAAATAAATAAGGTTTGGAAAAGGCTTACCCCAATGTCTGGAACATAACTGGTGTTCCTTTTACCCTCTTCTCACAAGAAACCAACATAATTTCACTTAAAGAGAAGAAAATGAAGAAAAACTTCAAAGAAGATAGGGTTTGGATTTGGGGCCCAAAACTGTCCTTCACATAACATTCTTCTCTGTTAAAATGAAGACAAGAGACAGTTTAGTCCCTCTCTGACTAAAGTAGCAGCAGTTGTCCTGGCTTTAACTGGTTCCAGGTGTTCTTTCAGGATGCAATTTTCTTACTGGTAACATGGAAGAAAGAGCTGGATCCACTATAAAATGAAGATAACAGTACAAACCTCATAGGTGTTGTGAGAGTTAAATGGGATATGGCATCAATGTCCATAGTTAGGTACCAGTTAGTAAGAATACTACTAAGTTTTGTTGTTACTGGTTTTTGCCTCTCTCCTGGGACATCTATTGAGGAATGCCATTATTTTAGAACTGCCTGCAGGCCTTTGCTACCTTCCTCATGAATTACTCTCTCACCAAGGCTCTATTCTAGAAAGGTTAGCACTATAGTTCCCATAAGGTGCCTGTTTCTTTGCATACTCCATGCCTGTGATTGGTTTTTAAACCAATCACAGCAGAACTTGCATTTTCAAATATCCTTGGAAGTATATGGGAGACTAAAATTCTTCCTACAATATTCTCTACTCTGGGAACTTCCCTCAGAGCCTACTACATATCCCTTTATCTCAAAGGAAGCAAAACAGAAAAGGATTTTGGTCAAATAGAGAAACAGATTTCCATTTAAGTTCATGAATATTTGTGACTGATGGCAGCATAACTTTGCAAAGTGACATAAGGGAATACCATTGTTTCAGTATATCAATTATAAAACGGTTTTTTAAGTCACATCTTTAAAAAAATTTAAGGCCTAAAAGGCCTATAATCCCTCTTTGTGCCCCTTTTAGGCTAGTAAGCTATGACTGGCACCCATTAGCGCCTTGCCTGTTCCAGAACCCTAAAGTTTTGACCCATATTTGGGATATGAGGTTTTTTTGTTTTGTTTTGTTTTTAATCAGTTTAAGGATTCTTTCTGGGGGTCTCACAGTACCTCATCCTCAAATACAAGGCCTTGCACATTGACTTGCAGCCCCCAAAAGTGGCACAAAAGTCCTCTGTCAGGCTGTACGGTCTAATTTGGGGTATGGAAATAGGGTCACTAAATAAAGGCAGACAGCTATGACGGGAAGTAAAGCCTTAGCCACGAAACCTGCATTTAAGTCTTAGCTCCACTGTGCACAGGCGCTGAATTATTCTGAGCCTCGTTCCTTCATCTGTGAAATGGGGGAACCCTGCCTCACGAGACTGTGAGGAGGGCTGGTCTGGGATGAGAAGGCCCTTCTTTAAGCATCAAGCATCGAGCCCTCCTCCGCCCTCTGCACACACTGGGCCCCTTCTAGCTCTGACAAGAGGTCTCACCATGCCCACCAGGCAAGCTCAAGGAGGAGATACCCTCATCGGTGGCATGTGGGGTGGCCTGTGTCAGCTGGAGCCAACCCCCGCTCTGCCCACGCCCGACCCTCAGCAGGATGCCCCAGGCTCACCGAGCGCCTCTCCACACTCCCTTTTTTCCTGCCATTCTTGCCTGGCATGACATCCAGTGACCGGTAGCTGGGTGGCTTCTCCTCAGGCCAGTCTGAGGAGTATGAGCTGCGGCGGCGGTGGGTTCCCCAGCTCTGGGGCCGCCTCTCCTTCTCATCCTCCTCAGAGCTCCAGGAACTGAGGCCAGAAGGCAAGGGAGGGGAATAGCTGCGGTGCCTGCGCCTCGGGTGCCTCTGGGCATTCTCCCGGGGACTGGGCCTGCGGGGTCGGTCTGGATAGCGGCTCCGGAGAGGTGGGTGGTCGGGCCGCCAGCGGGCCTTGCTTGATGAGGGGCCGTCACTGAGGCTGTCCCTGTCTGACCAGGGCGCGGGTGACCCGTGCAGCCGGGAGCGGTGGTGCCTTCCCCTCTGAAGTTGGTTCAGCTCCTGTCCCTCCAATGCCCAGCGGTTAGGTTCCCGGTCCTGAAGCTCCTGGTGGAAATCAGAGTAGTGGGCCTGCCTTCTCCTCTCCCTTGGATCCCAGGGTCCAGGGGGAATTGGGGTGAGCCACTCCTGGCAGGAGGAGTTGCCGGTCCTCCGTGAAGACGGCAGGTCTCTGATCAGTGGGGGCAGGTGGATGATTCTGCGCTCCACAACCTCAGAGCCCAGGGAGGACAGCATGCTGCAGGCTTGGCCAGATATGGCTTTAAGGTCAGGGGGCAGAGGCTGGGCTGGATTGATGTTCCGCAGCTCTTTCTCCAAATACTCTAAGACACCATTGGCGATGGGAGGGTGAGCAGCGGTCTGGGTCATTGGCATCTGTGGGAGGCTGGATCGCAGGGACAAATCTGAAAAGAAACAAGGATCAGAACATGCAGAACTGCTGGCCCAAAGCGTGCTCCTCAGAACCAGGGCACCAAAATGCCACATTAATCAGCTTGCATCCATCCCGTCCCCATCCTCAATCACAGATACCCACTATATTGGCCACTAAGGCCCCGATATAGCCCTTGCACCTACCCCTGCCCTCTGCCCTCTCCCACCCCAAATCTCTGGCAAGGTTTACCTCGCTGCAGCAGCGGGTTCATTGGATAAGATGAAACCTGGGAGCTCCTGTCCGCCCCCCAGTATAGGGGTTTTTCCATCATCTGAGGGCCTAAGGCCCGAGCCTGCTTCAGGTAGCGGTGGCGGGCCAGGGCTGCAGGGGAAAAAGGAGAAATGCAGACCCTCAGCCAGGACAAGCCCCACACCCCCCACTTCACTTCTCTCTACCCAGCAGCCTTGCTAAGGGGCCAGTTTCTAATCTATCTTGCATAGGAGTCAGAGTTAAAGGGGCAGTAACCCATCGGTCATCTGGCAAAGAGCTGGGAATGTACGCCAGGAAAGTATACCTATAATACCTGCCTTCCCAGTCTTGAAAACATTGCATCATCCTGCCATTCCCAGGTTCACTAAGATATAGGTAGATACATGGATATTAGTAGGCCATGAAATCTCAGGTCCCAGGCCAACAAGGCCTTCAGCCACAGGCCAAATATAGAAGATGCAGACGCAAAGGACTTGGAGGGGGCTGCCAGAGAAGCTCAGGGCTCCCTGCTCAGAGTCAAAAAGGAAAACAAACAAAAAAGGATGTAGGTGCTGAGGTCAATGGGCAGAACTATGGTAAAGGGAAGGAGACGGAAGAACCTTCTAGCTGGTACACCAGCCCTTGCGGGGAGGAACTAGTGAGAGGGAGGCAAGAGATGTAAAAAGCTGAAGTAGATCACAGTAGATCCTTTCAACTCTTCTCCTTATCTCAATAAGTGTTGGGATTTTCCCTAAGTAGGGGGAATCTCTAAAGGGTGCAGCGAAGGCAGAGAAGGGAGAAAGGAAATACCATCTCCTTTCAGGACAAAGAAAATCATGTAAAAAAGCAGCACAAGGAACCCATAGACGTGTCACTGCAGTACCCCAGGTGCAGCTAGTGTGAAGCACACAGTCCCCTCCCCTCCTCCCCTGCAAATTAAAAACAAAAGCATTTGTTGGTTTTGTTCGTGAATTTCTGTTTTGAGGTAACTGTCTCCCAAGGTCTCTGTCTATCCATGCATGCAGGAAATGTACTTGCATGTTTCAGGGCAGGAAGTGCCTGCCTCAGCCCCTGGCTTGACACTTTCACCTCCGCCTGCGTTCCTCAAGCCCTGTGGCCACCTCTATAGCAGCAGGGCTCTGCCTCTCTGAGGCTTCTTCCTGGCGCAATAAGAGGACAGAAGACAGGCATTCTGGCCCCTGCTGCAAAGGGTCGGGGATTTGCTGAGGCCAACAGCTGAGTGGCCATCTGGACCTGGTGGCTCTGGTGTGAAACACACTTTAGCACAAGTGGTTGCAGCTGAGCCCTCAGAAATGTCTGGAGCTGCAGCCCTGACAGGGCATCACGGCCTAGCCTGGAGGAAAGCAGATGCAAACTTAGAGCAGCTCACCCAGCTGCCACACCTTCAGGTGGCCAGCACTCCAGACCCTCCACGTGCTCAGCACCTTCCTCGCCCTCCTGCTAACCGATGCCTCCCCAGCTCCCTTCACGTGCCACCATCCGCACACATAATGCCCTGCTTACTACGCATGTGTCAGTCACTTTACCTAAGCTAACTAATCCTCAGAGCAATCTCTTGATGTGGGAATTAGATGAAGAAGCTGGGTGCACAGAGGTTGGCTTCCCAGTTCAAGGTCCCATAGCTGGTGATGGACAGAGGTGGCTCTCTGATGCCCAAGCCTGTGCTCTTTCCGCCAAATCACTGAGTCCCAAGGCTCTCCTATATTTCTGTGATGAAGCAAAGCAAAGCAAAACAAAACAAAACATCTTCCACAGTGGTAACTTCTTGCTTTATTTCTTTCCAACTTGGCTCCACACTTCAAAACCCACTCCAGACTAGTCTCTGCCTCTAAGGCCTGGGGCGACTGACTCCACTGGGAAGAACCCTACTTGCTCCCCACCCCTCTAACTGAATCCTGGCCACTTCCTTCCCCTACTCCCCCAATTCCATAGTAGACAAAGGGAAAGTTGGGCTTACTCCTTGTCCCCCAAATGACTTTTTTTTTTAACAAACGAGACCCTCTGCACAGATAACTCCCTAGAGACCCTTCCAGAGCTTCCATTAGCTTTCCTGTCAAATTTTCCATACTCCAGAGATTAACCCACCTGCTCTCTTAGTTGCCACACCCTTTGCCCCAGGGCCCCGCCTTTCCCTCATGTAATGGAACTGTTGAGATGGGCGTGGAAAACATAGCTTCTGAGCTTCTCCCTGGCCCTCTCGTTCCATGGGGATGTCAGGGTTTTCTGCTCTTCACCTAGTAGGGAATCAGGCAATAAAAGAAGAGACACGGAGAAAGTAACTAAGCCTCAAAAGACTCCTAATAAGCTATCTCTGAACCTCAGTGGAGTAAAGTCTGCCTTGAACATGTTAAGGAGCTAGTTAAAAATACAGATTCCTGGATCCCACTCCCAGATACTGTCCTTCGGTCTAGTGCAAAGCAAGCACAAATTGTGTTTTTAACAAGCTCCTTAATACTAGTGCAGGACGCCCAACTGGAGTTGACTATTGAGGATTCTCAACAACCTTTTGAGAACTATGGTCCTCAGGGTTAAGTTTCCTTAAATACGAGCTCTGAGGGTCAGATGGACTTCAGCATGAATGAGCGAATTTCCAGAGCCTCTGGGCCCAGGCTCCTCCTCTGTGAGCTAAGGACAGAAATACCTATTTCATAAACTTGTGAGGTTAAATGAAGCAATAGTACACGTGCCATGCCTAACAGATGACAGACAATCAAGAGACTGTCATAATAAATTATTGTAATTAAGTCCCTTCTTTTGCCTTAGATCCCATAGGAAACAAAAGTACACATTTGGAGACTAGACCACCAAAGGCCTATTTATCTTCATTTCTGAGGAAAACCCAGGGCATATTCTTTAAGACGTCTCTCCCGTGCCAGGAATGGCACAGCACCTCCCCCTCCTCCAGAGCCCCGGGCCTCTCCTTCCCTGCAGCCAGCATCACCCGTGGTGCCTGAAACTTGCCTGTAACTGCTTCCCGTCCTTCACCGGCCCCTCTCCACTCTTACAGAGCTCATCCTCTACCCTCTTTCGACCCATCGTCACACAGTCCTTTTACCTTTTCCCATACTACCAGTCCCCCTCTAACTTGACTGGCTAGTCATTTCAGTGACATCCTTTGGAACTTCCTAGAATCCCATGCCCTTGAACTCTTACCATTTTGGCTTTCGCTTCTGGCCCCGTGCTGCTAGTGCTGACTGCACAGCCAGGCAACTGACCTCACTCAAATAGCGCTCCCCAACATGGCTTCCCTTGACTGATCTATCGAGCCCACTTCCCTCCTCTAGAACAGTTTAAACATTCCCCACTTCTCATGTCTTCCCCTCCCCGTGAACTCTCGGCTGATGACATCATCTTGGTTGAGGAAGAGGAACCAGCCCCGGGCATGGAATCAAGAGACCTATGTCTAGTCCAGGATCTGCCACCAACAGGCTGTGTGTGACTGTGCTGAAGTCTTTCTAGGCCTTACTTCCCTCAGCTGTGAGGGGGATGGGGAGGTGAGTGACATAGATCAGAGATTCCCAGTGTGGCCTGTGGCCTACTACAGGGTATGCTTAGAGGTTCTGCGGGGAAGATGGCCAGTAATCGATCTAGTGTTCAGCTTCAAGAACTTTCATCTTTAAGTTCTACTGTCGGTCGTTTACCAGTACTAAGTGAATTATCAAGGGTTACTAAAATTTGCTGTCATTCTCATTTTTCTCCTCCCTGGTTCTAGTAACTCACTGGAAAGTGGGACCAAGTTAGGGGGGTGGGCTGTGGTCAGAGAAGGTCAAGAAGCACTGACATCATTCTCAAGCTCCCTTCTGCCTCTAGACTTTGCTGAAATCGAGACAGGTTGGTATGAGATTGCCTCAGCTTCCTGCCTTATACTTGGACCATCCCCCACATTTGAATGATTTTCTCTCTCCAGATGTCAGGCTGCCCTTCCTTTCCTTTCTAAAAGTAGTCCTTCCTCCGTACGCCTGATGTCACTCCTGTTGCATCTGCTCAGTGATCATCTCACTTCATAAGGCTTCACTTTACTCATTTCCTACTGGCCTTGGTTCTTTGCCTACAAATACGCTTGGGGTTATCTTATTCTAACCAGCAATCACACACACCCCTTTCCTCATTCAAGAGCTCTCCGTAACAACTTCTGCCCCCTCCATGTACTCTCCTCTTGTCATCAAAATTCTCAGGACAGTCAGCCACAGTAACTCACTCTGAAAGTGACCTCATTTGCTCAAGTCCAGGGATCTTTACTTGTGGCCTGCATTTCTTTATGTTACCAGTTCTTCTAAATGAACTCTAACCACTTAGGAGAAACCACTCTCCCCAAGAATCTGTTTATCAGCTTACTGAAACAGTGGATACATTTATCATTTGTGTTGGTCTCATCCCCAGGCCTGCCTGTTTTTCATGCCCCATGGACCTAGGGATTCTAAGAAGGCATCTTGGGAGTGATTTTTCTCATCTCTTCTTGCATAATACTACTCCGGTGACAGTGACTTCTCCACGGCATCTCTCCCAGAGGCTCTTGAAAGGTAAGGAGATCCACAGCCCAATATGGAGTTCTCTGCTATTTTTCCTCTCTTTAAGGAGGTCACTGTATCTCTGCCAAGCCCCCTGTGATCTCCACATAGAGGCTGTGGCAGCCTCTACTGTGTGAAATTCAGGCACTCATAAGTCAAATGAACCTGGACTCAATACCATACTGTCAATGCCACTTACTAGCTGTGACCACTCTGACCTTCAGTCCCCTCATCTGTTAAGTAGTGATGATATAGCCTTCTAGGGTTGTGAGGATTCATACAGGGAAATACATGCAAAGGGCCCACGCATGGCAGACTTCCAATAAAAGTTAGTTCTCTTTTCCTGTAAGACAACCACCCCGAAACACAGGCCTGAAACCAGATGCAGGCCATTGACCTTCTTGACATGGTAGATTAAGTTTTGTTTCTATTTTAAGAGGTAATTCCTTATCTTTTCTTTTAAAAAATTTCTGTTCAAATGATCCAAACTGATAAGAATGATAAGAGTGATTATCTCTGAGTGCTCAGATTAGTCTTTATATTTTCCTGAATTTCTCAAATTTTCTACAATGTAATACGTTACTTATATCATCAGGGAAAAATGTTATTTTAAGAACACAAAACTCCTGGGGTGCCTGGGTGGCTCAGTCATTAAGTGTCTGCCTACAGCTCAGGTCATGATCCCAGGGTCGTGGGATCCAGCCCCGCATCGGGCTCCTGCTTGGCAGGAAGTTTGCTTCTCCCTCTCCCACTCCCCCTGCTTGTGTTCCCTCTCTCGCTATCTCTCTCTCTGTCAAATAAATAAATAAAATCTTAAAAAAAAAAAGAACACAAAACTCCTTCCATTTAAAGCTGTTGATCCCACTCCATCTATTTATTAAGAAAAGATTTTTATAGAATAATTTTCTGCAAAAAAGATTGGCATTCCACAGCCAAATTTTTTAGGACATGTCATAATTCTGTTTTAAAAGGTCAAATTTCAGCCAGAAGAAAGATCACATTAAAAGCAAGATCTTCTGCTCTCTCTCTCCTTCGTGTAAACCTTCTTCCTTCATCTAAAAAGAGGTTCTCAAATTGTGGCCCACAGATCAGCAGCATCACATCGCTTGAGAACTTTTTGGGCATATAAATTCTCAGGCCTACCCAAAACCAGTTAAATCAGAAACTCTGGAGTTGGAGCCAGCAACTGAGTTTTAACAAGCCCTAGGTGATTCTTAAGTTTAAGAACCACTGCTTTAAAAACTCTCTCCTCTATCTGTTCTTTTCAAGTCATCTCCAAGGGGTGGCTTCCTCTCTCACTGCTACATTCAAACCACCCACTCCAGCCACTCCATATCGGAGCAAGGTTGAGTGCTCAGCAAATACTGAAGCACAGGGTTATCAGGGCCACTGAGGAAATGCCATCAGTAGGCAGAACCACTGGAAGGAGGCCTTAAGCAGGCTAGGATGTAGACAGGCAGAAGTCTTCCCCCTTGGGTCTACAACTTCCTGGAGCATCATTTTCTGGGTGAGCCTGTGACAGGAGAAGGGCACGGAGGAGACACTGGAAGGACCCAAGGTGTTGGCCTGGTGTGTGAAGCTGGTCTACTTGGGACAGCAGTCTGCAGCATCACCCCCTCCCACTGCTCGTCCAAGTCTGCTGCAGCACCCCCTCCCACTGCTAGTCGGAGTGTGCGGCATCACCCACTCCCAGTGTTCGTCCGAG